TGATCATTTGCTAGAGCCACACTATTCTCCTCAGATCATGATCATTTGCTAGAGCCACACTATTCTCCTCAGATCATGATCATTTGCTAGAGCCACACTATTCTCCTCAGATCATGATCATTTGCTAGAGCCACACTATTCTCCTCAGATCATGATCATTTGTTAGAGCCACACTATTCTCCTCAGATCATGATCATTTGTTAGAGCCACACTATTCTCCTCAGATCATGATCATTTGTTAGAGCCACACTATTCTCCTCAGATCATGATCATTTGTTAGAGCCACACTATTCTCCTCAGATCATGATCATTTGTTAGAGCCACACTATTCTCCTCAGATCATGATCATTTGTTAGAGCCACACTATTCTCCTCAGATCATGATCATTTGTTAGAGCCACACTATTCTCCTCAGATCATGATCATTTGCTAGAGCCACACTATTCTCCTCAGATCATGATCATTTGCTAGAGCCACACTATTCTCCTCAGATCATGATCATTTGCTAGAGCCACACTATTCTCCTCAGATCATGATCATTTGCTAGAGCCACACTATTCTCCTCAGATCATGATCATTTGTTAGAGCCACACTATTCTCCTCAGATCATGATCATTTGTTAGAGCCACACTATTCTCCTCAGATCATGATCATTTGTTAGAGCCACACTATTCTCCTCAGATCATGATCATTTGTTAGAGCCACACTATTCTCCTCAGATCATGATCATTTGTTAGAGCCACACTATTCTCCTCAGATCATGATCATTTGTTAGAGCCACACTATTCTCCTCAGATCATGATCATTTGTTAGAGCCACACTATTCTCCTCAGATCATGATCATTTGTTAGAGCCACACTATTCTCCTCAGATCATGATCATTTGTTAGAGCCACACTATTCTCCTCAGATCATGATCATTTGTTAGAGCCACACTATTCTCCTCAGATCATGATCATTTGTTAGAGCCACACTATTCTCCTCAGATCATGATCATTTGTTAGAGCCACACTATTCTCCTCAGATCATGATCATTTGTTAGAGCCACACTATTCTCCTCAGATCATGATCATTTGTTAGAGCCACACTATTCTCCTCAGATCATGATCATTTGTTAGAGCCACACTATTCTCCTCAGATCATGATCATTTGTTAGAGCCACACTAATCTCCTCAGATCATGATCATTTGTTAGAGCCACACTATTCTCCTCAGATCATGATCATTTGTTAGAGCCACACTATTCTCCTCAGATCATGATCATTTGCTAGAGCCACACTATTCTCCTCAGATCATGATCATTTGCTAGAGCCACACTATTCTCCTCAGATCATGGTCATTTGCTAGAGCCACACTATTCTCCTCAGATCATGATCATTTGTTAGAGCCACACTATTCTCCTCAGATCATGATCATTTGTTAGAGCCACACTATTCTCCTCAGATCATGATCATTTGTTAGAGCCACACTATTCTCCTCAGATCATGATCATTTGTTAGAGCCACACTATTCTCCTCAGATCATGATCATTTGTTAGAGCCACACTATTCTCCTCAGATCATGATCATTTGTTAGAGCCACACTATTCTCCTCAGATCATGATCATTTGTTAGAGCCACACTATTCTCCTCAGATCATGATCATTTGTTAGAGCCACACTATTCTCCTCAGATCATGATCATTTGTTAGAGCCACACTATTCTCCTCAGATCATGATCATTTGTTAGAGCCACACTATTCTCCTCAGATCATGATCATTTGTTAGAGCCACACTATTCTCCTCAGATCATGATCATTTGTTAGAGCCACACTATTCTCCTCAGATCATGATCATTTGTTAGAGCCACACTATTCTCCTCAGATCATGATCATTTGTTAGAGCCACACTATTCTCCTCAGATCATGATCATTTGTTAGAGCCACACTATTCTCCTCAGATCATGATCATTTGTTAGAGCCACACTATATTCCTCAGATCATGATCATTTGTTAGAGCCACACTATTCTCCTCAGATCATGATCATTTGTTAGAGCCACACTATTCTCCTCAGATCATGATCATTTGTTAGAGCCACACTATTCTCCTCAGATCATGATCATTTGTTAGAGCCACACTATTCTCCTCAGATCATGATCATTTGTTAGAGCCACACTATTCTCCTCAGATCATGATCATTTGTTAGAGCCACACTATTCTCCTCAGATCATGATCATTTGTTAGAGCCACACTATTCTCCTCAGATCATGATCATTTGTTAGAGCCACACTATTCTCCTCAGATCATGATCATTTGTTAGAGCCACACTATTCTCCTCAGATCATGATCATTTGTTAGAGCCACACTATTCTCCTCAGATCATGATCATTTGTTAGAGCCACACTATTCTCCTCAGATCATGATCATTTGTTAGAGCCACACTATTCTCCTCAGATCATGATCATTTGTTAGAGCCACACTATTCTCCTCAGATCATGATCATTTGTTAGAGCCACACTATTCTCCTCAGATCATGATCATTTGCTAGAGCCACACTATTCTCCTCAGATCATGATCATTTGCTAGAGCCACACTATTCTCCTCAGATCATGATCATTTGTTAGAGCCACACTATTCTCCTCAGATCATGATCATTTGTTAGAGCCACACTATTCTCCTCAGATCATGATCATTTGTTAGAGCCACACTATTCTCCTCAGATCATGATCATTTGTTAGAGCCACACTATTCTCCTCAGATCATGATCATTTGTTAGAGCCACACTATTCTCCTCAGATCATGATCATTTGTTAGAGCCACACTATTCTCCTCAGATCATGATCATTTGTTAGAGCCACACTATTCTCCTCAGATCATGATCATTTGTTAGAGCCACACTATTCTCCTCAGATCATGATCATTTGTTAGAGCCACACTATTCTCCTCAGATCATGATCATTTGCTAGAGCCACACTATTCTCCTCAGATCATGATCATTTGCTAGAGCCACACTATTCTCCTCAGATCATGATCATTTGCTAGAGCCACACTATTCTCCTCAGATCATGATCATTTGTTAGAGCCACACTATTCTCCTCAGATCATGATCATTTGTTAGAGCCACACTATTCTCCTCAGATCATGATCATTTGTTAGAGCCACACTATTCTCCTCAGATCATGATCATTTGTTAGAGCCACACTATTCTCCTCAGATCATGATCATTTGTTAGAGCCACACTAATCTCCTCAGATCATGATCATTTGTTAGAGCCACACTATTCTCCTCAGATCATGATCATTTGTTAGAGCCACACTATTCTCCTCAGATCATGATCATTTGCTAGAGCCACACTATTCTCCTCAGATCATGATCATTTGCTAGAGCCACACTATTCTCCTCAGATCATGGTCATTTGCTAGAGCCACACTATTCTCCTCAGATCATGATCATTTGCTAGAGCCACACTATTCTCCTCAGATCATGATCATTTGTTTAGAGCCACACTATTCTCCTCAGATCATGATCATTTGTTAGAGCCACACTATTCTCCTCAGATCATGATCATTTGTTAGAGCCACACTATTCTCCTCAGATCATGATCATTTGTTAGAGCCACACTATTCTCCTCAGATCATGATCATTTGTTAGAGCCACACTATTCTCCTCAGATCATGATCATTTGTTAGAGCCACACTATTCTCCTCAGATCATGATCATTTGTTAGAGCCACACTATTCTCCTCAGATCATGATCATTTGCTAGAGCCACACTATTCTCCTCAGATCATGATCATTTGTTAGAGCCACACTATTCTCCTCAGATCATGATCATTTGCTAGAGCCACACTATTCTCCTCAGATCATGATCATTTGCTAGAGCCACACTATTCTCCTCAGATCATGATCATTTGTTAGAGCCACACTATTCTCCTCAGATCATGATCATTTGTTAGAGCCACACTATTCTCCTCAGATCATGATCATTTGTTAGAGCCACACTATTCTCCTCAGATCATGATCATTTGTTAGAGCCAGTGTTTTGTTTTTATGTTTAAATTGTATAAAATCTCAGTATTTTGACCTCACTATGTTCTAAGAATTTCTATGTAATACTAACAAAAATCAGTTCTCGTTGTGCCTAGTGGCACAAGAGGCTTCAGAGAGGACTTTCCATGCTTTCCTGTCCTGTGCAATCTGCAGTGCAGTTTTCCATGTCAAATTGCCGCGCTCAGGTCACTTTCCGTCGTTCTTCTCCATGTTGTTTTCGGGTGCCCCTGTTTTCTCTTTCCCTCTGGTGTCCATGTGAGAGCTGTTTTGGCAGGTATATCAGGATTCATTCTCGTAACGTGGCCAAGCCATTTCCATCTTCTCTTGGTTATCATATTGTCTGAAGTTTCTTGGTTTGTGACTTGAAGTAGTTTAGTGTTTAAGATTGTATCTGGCCAAAAAATTTTGATAATTCTATGTAGACATGTGTGGTGGAAGGTAGACAGCTTGTGTGCAACCTTTTTGGTCATTCTCCATTCTGGTCATTCTAACAAAATGGTGGATTTTTATCATGATATAGGGCGTCGCAGGATGACCCAGCCTAAAATGGGTGCCAGGATGGCTGTCCTTGAAAAGTAAAGACGGCCGAGGTAATGCTGACCACATTACCCACCTAGTGCTGATTGGTCTGTAAAAATGTGGGAGACTCTTCCCATATGCCCGATGAGCCTAAAGGTGTGAAAAAGGATCTTTACTTACTAACAGAATCTATTTTCTTCTTTAGTAATTGCAAAGTAGTCCGTGATTGACACCCGTTGACAGCTACATGAAAGATGCCTGTGTTCAAAATGTTTATTATAAAGTGTCTGAAGTTTTGGTGACTGACCAACTGATACTGATCTAAATGCTTTCAGATTTGACCTTGAGCAACTGATCCTGATCCAAATGCTTTCAGATTTGACCTTGAGCAACTGATACTGATCTAAATGCTTTCAGATTTGACCATAAGCAACTGATACTAATCCAAATGCTTTCAGATTTGACCATGAGCAACTCGCCAGCAGAGAATTAGAGAACCAGCTGCAGCAGACGCTGAAGAAAACTGAGTTTTCTGATCAAGTTCGGGAGCAAGAAATCAGAGATTACAAGGTATACGTTGGAAAAGTAACTCTTTTTCATCTGTTGATATGTGGTGGGAACATGATGATAGTCTCATTTTTGTACTGACCAGTCAGCCATCAGTACAAAGAGGCGGAAACTATGTAGACATAGGAGATCATCATCATCATCATCAGTTTCCAATTTTGACTTTAAGCATCATGGAGAAAGAGTTTGGGAACCATTGCTTGATGGGCAGCAATGGCTGTTGTCATTCCATGTACATATAGAAGCTCTTTAATCTAGACAAAGACATGTAAGTCTAAATCAGTTGCTAATATAAATAAATCTAACAGGTCAGCATTTTGAGTGCTAGCCAAAGCATCAATGTGATTATCAAATATATATCTATATGTGCACGCACGTGTATGGATGAGAATAATGTACTTTTCTTATAATATAATTCAGTATCACCTTTAAAATAAATATGCACAAACTGATAATAAATATTATATCCAAGTGTACATAAAAATTCTAAACAAAACTAGTGCAGGTTCATTTAACGTACCTGCCTGAAAAAAATCACACCTCAAAGATTAAACCTTTGAAAACAATAAATGTAACTATCATCAGCAGAGTATTTTTTATATCAATGTTTTTTTTTTTTTTTAAACGTATCCAGAAACCATGAGTTGTAAACCCTTTGGCTAGGTACTATGGATATCGCAACCCTTCGGCCTTGATTCCATTATAGGTACCGTCAGTCTGGGAGAAATGTGGCTTCTCAAACACAGCATATCAATGTTAAAACGTTTATGCTGTGTTTGCAAATATTAGTTCTTATGCCAGGATATTTTTCACTGTTGTTTGCAAATCAAATCCATAACTGCTGTAATGGTAAATGTTGTCCCATATTAGATACTGTAATTGGGATGAAAGGTTGAATGCGTTTTTTCTTCTTCCTCTTTCTTCTCCTGTTGATCTTCTGCTTCTTCTTCTACTTCTTCTTATTCTTCTTCTTCTTTCCTTTATCCCCTCTCATAGTTGATGGTTTTTCTAGCAGTAACCAGTGTCATGGTGGATTAGAAAAAATAATAGCAGAAAGCATGGTACCAGGAACGAAGGGCACAGGCTAGGCCAGCATGGAAATTGGTCCAGGATATAAGGCAGACTTTGGTTAGGCAAGTGCATGAGGCGAGAGAGCTGGTGAAGAGAGTGATTAGTGACTAGAAAGGATTATCACAGCACTCTGGACGGGTCTATAGGTGCTCCGACCTCCTCCTTCTAAAAGCTCCACAAGTGTAAAACAACTGATGACGCTTATTCTGTGTTGGTTAATGAAACGTCTTGTCCCCTTAGTGAAATGTTAATTTCTTGCAGCTCCAGACTGCATCCCATGTCCATCAGTCTATACAGGGATACGGAGTCATGTCCTTTGGCATGCTCCTTGGTACGGTAAGTGCAGCGCATGGAATTGATAACATCTCTTCTGTCCAGTACTGGACCAGCCATAGCAACCGCATTGTCAGCAAGATAGTCTGCACACTCGTTCCCTTGAACACCCGCATGACCTGGCACAAAGATAAAGGTTGGGGCAGATATTCGTAAAGTGCTTAGTGTTTCAATCCATTCTTGCCTGATAAATCCAGCTTGGATACGTATTGAAGAGACTGAGTTTCTTTCAAGTAAGCCATGATGAGAGCAACATTCTTGAAGGGACTTGATACCTGATATGCTTTACCAGCTGAGGCATCCAAACCCAGCCCAGCCACTTGTTGCTTGCTGTGACTTCTTGGGAAGGGTAGTAAAATAAAGTACAATTTTTCACACCTTCAGGCTTATTGGGCACATAGGGCTGGACCTATCAGCGTTCTGTGGGTGATGTGGTAAACATCACACTGGCCACCTTTACGTCCCAGGACTATACCTGGTGCTCACTCAAGGCTGGGTCGACCTGGGAGCCAAGATAAAAAAAATTTTTAAGTCCTGCTCCATCAGGATCCAAACCCAGTACCTTCCGGTCCGCAGGCAAGCATCTAGCCATACACTACAGCAGCTACAGAAGGGCGTAGTGTTCTTATTCTTTGCATCCCCTCAGGGCCTTTGTAACACATAAGCACTTCATTAAATCTATACTATCATATATAATATTTGATTAGGGGGGGGGGGGGGGGGGGTGCAGTCTGCCCAAAACATCAAATTTCAGAAAACCCTAATAAGTCCCACATGCTTGTTAAGAGGCAGTAGATCTATTCTTTTTTTTTCTCTTAGAATAACCCCCAGAACACACACAGGGAAAATTATGTTAAACATATTTGGGGGTGGGTAGTTATGTAATTGCAGTTGCAACTTTATAGCAAACAGGTCGCCCCAGTTTTTGCTCCATTCCGGTGCCAGCGAAAATTACAGTGTCAATCATTATCCATTGTGAAAAAAATTGGCATAGACTGCAGTCTCAGCTAATCCAGTTAACATACACATGCATTCAATGAATAAGGCAGCCAACAGATCTGTTACACAGTCTGTACACCACTAGAAATGCAGTTCATTGTTGGAAAACGCAGCAGTCATGCTAGATCAGTCGTTGCACAAGCAAGTAATTACATAAGGCACCACAAGTTCTCTGGCAACAGGCCACTCACAATTTTCTGAATCTGCAGATCAGCAGTTCACTAAACAAAACTTGTTAGGCACAGTCAAATCACCTTGTTGCCTTTCCTTCCCACAAAATTCTGGACATTGTCTGCTAGCCATTTTGTAAAGCTGGGTCGACCCTAGGGGCTGGGTCAGCCCCAGAGCTATCGTCATCACAATCATCAGATGCCTTGCAGAGTGGCATAGGCAATCATACCACTTCACTATTTCCGATCTTCAACAGCATGTATTAGTTTGTGTGTTGACACACCTGCATGCCATAACTAAAGATTGTCAAGAATCTTTGCATGTTGTCTTCCACTGTCTCTTTTTCCACAGAACTTTACAATGGTCACACATGTTCAAATTTCATTCTATTCGATAATATGACTGTTTTTTTTTTCTGATGTTTGTGATAAGTTGTCTTTGAGCCCTTGCAGACACTAGTTGAAAAATGAGTTAAATTTAAGAAAACCACACGCAAACTGTGACGGGGAAAAAATTAAAACATCCCATTTGTAACCTTTCACTTAGGCTTGAACAAAGTCAATTTATAGGAAACGAATGAAAACTCACCTCTTTCAAAACATCTTTGTTGCCTTTTTTGGCTGTCCAATGAATTTAAAGGATTCTTCTGTAAAACCACATCTCTGAGCCCAGGGCTATAAGGGTCAGGAAAAGAAATCCTGCTGTCTTCGGAATTGAACATAGACTAGTGTCTCGGCAAGCAGGTGCACGAATCAGTGTACTGCAAAAGTAAAGAACCCTTTTCTACACCTTCAGGCGTATTGGGTATACGTGGTGCTTGACCTATACTTTACATACCAATTGGCATTCGATGGGTGATGTGGTCAGCGGCCTTTACTTCCAAGGACTTTTACCTGATACCCATTTAAGGCTGGGTCGACCTTGAAGCCAAAGTCATTTTTTTTTTAGTCAGACTCTGATCTGATTTAAACTCCTGGCCTTTGGATCCTAGATGAACATGCAGCTTCTTCACCACGCAGCTCCGTTAGAGTTGTACTGGTCGGGGCAAAAACCTGCTATCTCTGGGGGTTGAATCCAGACCAGTTCCTCGACATGATGATGATTTTTTTTTTTTTTTTTTTTTTAATTATTTTTTAAATGTTTCCTAAGCAGTATCTAGTGAATTATTATTGTTTTTTCCATTTCTGTTCTTCATTTTTTTTTTATTATTATTATATTCTATATTTAATCCATTTTCCTTTACCCCTAGAATCGCCTGGATCTAGCTTTGGACACTATTATATCTTTAGAAGCCGCTCTCCAAGAAGCAAACAAAGTTCCCATCAGTGAAGTTCTGAAGCAAGTAAAAGAAAAAGTTGAAGCAGAATTCAGAAGATACCTAGCTGAGGCAGAGGAACAATATTCAAGAAATGTGAGTTTATATTGTTTTAGATTTTTTTTTTTCCAAGTCATCATATAAAACTTTGTTAGCACATTGTATTGTGGTTTACAGCAAGGTTATGATATATGAGTCTTTCATCCAACATTTGATTTCAATAAACAATTGATTAGTCCCATTTTATGACATGCTTGTTACAGGGCAGTGGTTTAAGCTTTTTAAAAATTCTAAAATAGAGGAACTCGCTAAGTAGACATATCAGATGTTTCCGAATATTCAACGCCATTTTAAAAAGTATAGGAACATTTTTGTTTTATTTATATTTTTGGTAAGGATGAAAAAGGGGAAATGTAAATGAAACAAAAAGCTGTGGACAGTCAGGATTTCTGAAAGTTTTGATAAGTATTAAGAGTTAGTTAGTTAATTGCATATCCTTTACAAGACTTTGCAGAACTAACCCCAGCATTTTAGGCTGTTATGGTTTTTCTAGGCAAATTTATGTCCAGTAGTTTGCCATTACTTTCTGGACGGTCAGTTTCTCGATACCACTGTCGAAACTAATGCAAGGCGCAAAGCCCGCAGCTGTTATCGAACCTGGCATCCTGGCAATTCAAACCTCGTTCGCAACGCGTAAGCCACAGTATTTTTTTTTAATACCCTTTTATCTGCTTTTAGTAAATTGATCTTTCACTTTTACTTCATTTCTCTGCCAATTTTTTTTTTTTTTTTTTGGCTAACAGTTGTCCATTCTGAAAGTCCGTATTGACAGTGATGCAGAAACTCTTCAGAAACTATCTTTGGAAAGAAATGAGCTCTCAGGAAAGATAGGAGAGCTAAAGGACAAGATCAGGAATCTTGAAGGACAGGTAACAATTTTACCGGAAAATAATGTTAAATTGTTTGTTTAGTGTGTGAAGCATAAAAATACAGAGGTTATATTATCTAGGTATATTGCTGCCTTTACTTTTCACGGCATTTCCTGGCATCCCTTGTAGGCAGAGTCAATTTGGGATCCCAGGTTATTAAAAAATTTTCTTTCCTATTAAAGATTTGAACCAATAATCACCTGGCTGGCATGCAGGTATGTTAGCTACTGTGCTTTATGGTTTTAATCTTGACAATACCTGTTCAGTTTTTAATAAACTGTTTGGGAATCCATAAATAAACGAAAGTATAAATCTGCAATTTGACAGTAGCTCTTCAGTTATCAATTAAAAATCCTATAATCCTTTTAAAAATGAAAATATACATCAAGGATTTCTCAACTCCTCATTTATAAACAAATAATCCTATAATCCTTCTATAAATAATAAAAATCAAGGATTACTTGACAAGGAATCCTCAGTTTTCATTAAACACTTTGAGAATCCTCAGAGGAGCAGCTGGTCAAACAGCATAAAGGGCTCTCATGCGAGAGACCCAGGTTCGTATCTTTATTAAGGTGATAGTGATTTTTCTGTCAGGGGAAAATTAACAACCTATTCTGCACAGTTGGTGGCAGCTGTACTAGCCATGCAGCTGTAAATCCTCAAAATATCATGTTAAGATATCAAAACAGATTAGAAATAGGACTAGTCAACTTCATCTTATCACGATCACAAACGACAACTGAATGTTATGGGTAAAAAGCCTTCGTCAACACATGACATCAATAGTCAATGTTACAATTACAACCAAGAATACATAAAATAATTTCAATGAGAGAAATCTACACATCGGTCATGCCATTTAAAGCTCTGAAACATATGTGAATATACATCATCATCACGTAGCAGGTCCTTTGCAGAATGTTGCTCTCATCAGTCTGCCTGAAAGAAACTTGGTCTCTCGTCAGCTCTCCCGCCTCATGTATGTTCATACTCAATGAACCACTTATATCCTGTGCCCATCTTCGTGTCAGTCGGCCCCTGCCCCTCCTTCCTGGTACCATGCCTTCTGCTATATTTTTTGCCAATCCATCGTGGCGCTTGATATGACCAAAATATTTCAGCTTCCAAGACAGGATGCTATTTATTAGCCAATCTTCCTTGATGTTCAGATCTTTCAAGATGTCGTTATTTCTCCTCTTCTTTGTCCAAGATATTCTGAGAATCTTTCTATAGTGTTTCAGCTCAAAAGCCCCTATTCTCTTTCTTAAGGACTTAGAGATAGTTTACAATTCACATCTGTATGTTGCTACAGGGAAGATGCATGCTCTAAAAAGCCTTCATCAACACATGACATGAATAGACAGTGTTGCAATGACAACCAAAAATACACAGAATAACTTCACTGAGGTCCGTCCAAGAAAAATCCACGCATTAATCATGCCAGTTGAAGCTATGAGACATGTGTGAACACTGGAAATGGAAATTAGTCAGAAACTAATGTAGCAGGCAAGGATTTTAAACTGCTAAATAAAAAGTGGTAGATACAGGTGGTAATAATGACTGTTTCTCTAAATTCCAGAATTCTTATCTAAATAATATTAATAAAAACTTTCTTGACTATTTAGTTCTTCTTCTGCGTTCGACATTACTCATGCTAAACATTGAGTCCCATCTGGGTCACAAATACGATTGTGCGTTTAAGGTCGCCACCGGTCCTCTATAGCTTCTCTTGCAATGTGGCTCCCTTGGGCCAGATCCACAGTCTTTGCTGGAAGAGGTAAGGGCAGTACTGTAGTATGTGCTCAGGGGTCTGTCTTTCTGCTCCACAATCACAAGCAGCAGATTCTTTTATGCCTATCCTGTACAGGTGTGCTCAAAGACCACAGTGTCCAGTCCGAAGTCTAAAAATTGATGTTTGTTCTTTCCTGTTGAGTTTTTTTATGCTGTCACTCTCTGGTCTGTAATCTCCATTCTGCCTTCTCCACTCCCACTTGAAAGACTGCTTTAGCGCTGTTTTGGTTTCCTTGTAGCTGTGTGGTGGATGAGGCTGTGGAAGATTACTCCCAGCTTTTGCCAACTCATCTGCTCTCTCATTTCCTTGAATACCACAGTGGGCTAGTATCCACTACAAAACCAGTTCTGCTTCCTTGGATGACTATTTAGTATTCTTTGGATATTTTCTCCAGGTCATGCCGGTGTGTTGGGAAATGAGCAAGCAGATAGTCTGGCTGGCTCTGCAAAACTTGGTGGTGAATTGATGTATGACAAGTTAGATATTGTAAAGGCCCTTTGGGAGTGAGTGAACAGTGCGGAGTGCAGATAGATCATTACGGTCTGAGGAGAATGGTTACCAGGGGATCTGGCCGGCCCTCAACACTCAGTGGAAGGGCGAGACGGATATACAATCAGACAGTTACTGGTACCATCGGGATTGGAACTCTTCGGTTGCTGCTGAACATGGGGACTGAGCACTTGTTGGAGTGTCCCGAGTGCTGTGATGTCGATTCGTAATTCAACATTCTTAACTATTTGTTTTTTTTTCAGGTCTAGAACCCTTGTATAACTGATGATATAAATAAGGGGTTTGACAATATCTCTCCATTTTTCACTAAGCAGTTCTAAAATTTTTGTTTGAGGGATGATACAAATCAAAACTGTCTTGACATGTTCATACAATGGGCAAAGATTGTTTTGAATTTTAGAATTTATTATTGCAAATTAATAGTTACTTAATTTTTTAATAATAAATTCTAAAATTTAAAACAATTTTTCCCCACTGTATCAGCCTAATGAGGTACAATTAATTATACCAAACAGGTAAATTGTACAGTCTGTTGTTTCTGTCTTATTTATTTAAACTGCAGCCAACTACGGGTGTTTGAAACTGAGCGGTTCCCAGGGTTCACCCAGCCTCTAGGTAATGGGTACCAGAGTTAACACTCTAGGCTAAATGGAGGGACATCGCTGTAGCTACGGAGTTGCGTGTGGACGGCGACACAGGCGGACACTTTCTTAGCAGCTGTCCGTACTGGTGGCAGAGCACTTATGGTTTATAACCGTATGCAATGACGCCGGTTCACATCTCCCGACTTTACTTTATTTATTCAAACTGTACAATCATTTTATAAACAGTAACATAATTTTGGATTTGTTTTGTCAGATTGCAAGTCTTCATCATCAAAATAAAACCCTGGAAGATGCCATACTCGCTGAACGTAGACAAGCAGAAGGTAACATTGCACATCTGGAAAATAAATTCAGAGATGTGCAAGATAAGCTGATGGCAAAAATGAATGAGCTTGTTAATGTACGAGATTTCAGCACACCTCTTAAATCTGAGATTGAAGCACTGAAAGTTCTCCTAGAAGAGGAAGAGAACAGGTGATCTTCTTTTTTTTATGTTTACATTGTTGAATATGTATACAGATATTGTTATCTAGTTTCAAGAAAAAATGCTGGCATTGGATAGGACACACATTGAGAAAACCAGAGAACTATATAACTAGAATGTTTTTGCACTGGAACCTCCAGGGGCATAGGAATAAAGAAAGGCCAAAAAAAACACATGGAGAATGGAGCTGGAGAATGAAATTAGAAAGATGGGGAGGACATCGGGATAGCTGCATGCGATAGCAAAATTTAGAACGACTTGGTGTGAGTTGGTTGAGGGCCTATGCTCAGTTGGGGGCTAGAAAGGCAGAAGAAGAAGATATTGTTTATGAATAACCAAGCCAACATATTAAAAGAAAGATATATCTTCTTCTTCTTCTCTTCCACCTTGTACCTCAGTGAAGTGTTGGGGGAAAATGTAATGTTTGTTGATGAGCTCTGTCAAGAGCACTATTGAGATTGATTTTCATTTCTGTAACGCTGTTCTTAATGACATCACTTTATATTTTCTGAGGTCTTCCACTCGCTCTATACCCGTTGTAACATTTCAGTGTGGCTCGCTGTGGTAGAAAGTACTAGGACATTCTTGTTAGGTGTCCAAACCACTTCATTTGTTGTTCTTTGATGACCTGTAAGACTGGTTTTATTCCTAGCATTCATCTGATTCCTGATTTCATGTTTTGTCTTTCCTTGAAACTCCCACAGCTCTTCTAAGGCATTTCATCTCTGTTATCACAATTTTTGTTCATTAGAGAATGTAAGTGTTCACATTAGGCACTGATAGCATAGTTATATCATCACTATACAATAAATAAATCACTTCACAAAGCTTAGATTTCTACTGAATCAGATGGCCAGCTAACCAAATAGACCTTTCTCCAGTGGAATCCAGACCACAGTAACATTTAGAGAAATTAAAGGGCAGACTACTCAGTCAAAACTTGGAACAGTTCAGAGCAGACCATTGCAGGAGACACTAGTGAGGAAAATGAAACTCAGATCAAGGCAGCCATTAGAAAACCACCTGTGTAAAATATGTATTTGGTAACTTAATAAACCTCCTCCTATGAAAGCTACCTATCTTCTTTTCTTCTTTCATTCGCTTGAAGTAAATTATCTATATCTGCAATGTTGTCTCTAGTATGAACTTCACTGTCTTTTGTAATTCACTCAGCGACCCGTAAAGTTTGACTTGCACCGGTGTTTCTCTTGGCCAGAAATTTTGCCTTGATCTGTTGTATTTGGAGGACATGATCTGTTGTCTCAGGTGCTAATCCACATGTGCACATGGCTGATTTACCAATTTTAAATTGTGTGTACATGTGGCTGTGGAGTAAAGCTACTTACGACTATTTATGAAAAGACTCTGAAGCCAAATGTGCACAGAATTCAAGGTTCAGGATTCACAACTTTGTCCGTGTGGATAGACACACTACAGAATACTGAATGTGTGCTGTTGACATACTCTCTATGTGCTGTAAGGAGATCCTAGGTCACTTGGCATTCTGGTGGATACAAAGCTGTATGTCAGTGGAGGAAACACACCACAGCCTTCATACAGGCCTGTGACCATCTCATGTGACAACCACTAGCAGGGAGACAGAACAGAAAAAAATACTATGATACAATGCCAAATATGAACACTGTCAAAAGCTCATATGTATAAAATTAATTCTTGCAGGAACAACAACTTGTGCCAAACTCAATAAGAAATAGAAGTTTAAATTATTTTGGCAAACTGTCAGAGTGTGATAGTAAAAAAAAAAATTTTGATATAGATCCACTGCCATTTAATAAGTTTGTCATAAGGAGCGATTAATTTAAACTTTTATGAAACAGTGATTAGTGATTAGAAAGAATTATCATCACAGCATTCCAAACAGATCCATAGGCTCCCATCTCCTCCTCAAAAGCTCATCAGGTGTAAAACAACTGATGACACCTGGTCTGTGTTGGTTAAGAAACGTCTTGTCCCCTTAGTGAAGTGTTCATTTTTTTGCAACAAGCTTTCAAACACAAATCAATGTCCCAGCCACCTAAGGATGACTACAGAGGAATACTCGTAACCTATTATCGTACCTAACTCTTATAATCAATTATAATCTGTGCAGTATTTAAAAAACAGCCTCAGGCCTTAGACAAACCGGAGGCAGAGGGAGACCTAGAGATGATGCTGGACAGTTTTACATCATGGTATGGAATAACATCTGTGTCAAAATTAATGGAAAGTACATAAAACAGAAGATTGTGGATAGACATGACTACCAATGCAACACGGCATGAACTTTAGTAGATTAGACATAGATATCAAGTATATGAAAATAAAAACTCTTTATAACTCAGTTATAACACAGAAGGATTGACCAAGATATTCCTGATAAAATTACCATCTTTTGCAGACTTCAGGTACCTTTGGGTCTCCTTTCAAGCACAACAGTTCAACCAACTGTTCTTAGAACTGACCCAAAAGTGACAGTTTTTAAACCAAATTTCTCAAAAACACTACAAGATCAAACTCTGGCCAGCTACACACCTGCTGTAGTCTATGGCAACCCACCAACACATACTGATATCAAGAAGGTTGAAGAATTTAATATGCCTCAACACTCTTCACAAGTTTCTTTACCAAACGTCACCACAGCTGTGTCAGCTCCTTATGATTCATTTATCACAAATGGCAGTGATAACAGTGCCAGTTTTTCATACATGCCAGGTAGGGTATTTGATAACTTCTAGCAATAATTTTGTGAAATAGTGATTGTTCTTTGATGTTAAATGTTGAATTAAGAATCATCAGTTGCGCAGTATATGAACAATCTGCAAATTACCGCAGGCAGGATAGTTTTTCTGACTGACTCACTGTCAGCTATACAGGCCCTAGAGTCCAAACCTACCAACAGCACACTACAAAGTCTAACACAGGAACTTGCTATGTTGTCAAATAAGGCAGAAATTCACTTGCAGTGGATTCCGTCTCACTGTGGCATCAAAGGCAATGAAAGCGCAGATGCTTTAGCCAAGGAAGGCAGTAACAAACCACAGACCTACCAGCCACTATCTTTTCTAGAAGTCAAAACTCTCATTAAGAGAAAATCAGAAACAGATTGGAAAACCAACACTGGTTATAACTACGGAAAGGATTTTCTGAAACACTTGAACAGAACAGACCAAGTCACAGTTTTTCGCTTACGCACTGGACACTGCAGACTCAATAAACACACACATAAATTAGGTATGAGCCAAACAGCTCTCTGCCGGTGCCTTCGTGCTGAACAGACTCCAGAACATGTCCTGCAAGACTGTCCTCTCCTGGCGGAGCTGTGGAGCGACATATGGCAACACCCAGTAGAACTGACAACTAAGCTTTGGGGAAACCTAAGAGACCTTGAAAAGACATCCCAGTTTATGACCCACAGTGGATTATGCACAATACCAGAGATCGCTGAAGAAGAAGAAGAATCATCACAGCACTTGGGACCCCCACCCCCACCCCCCCCCCCCACCCCCATAAGCGATCCGTCCCCATCTTCAGCAGCAAGTGAAGAGTTAAAATTTAGATGGTACCAGTAACAGTCTGATTGTATATCCGTCTCATCCTTCCCTTGAGTGTTGAGCGGCAGCCAGGTAACTCCTCGCAGCATCATTATCCTCAGACCGTAATGTTCTATCTGGGCCTCCGTACTGTTTCCTCACTTCCAAAGTGCCCTCACAATATCTGACTTGCCATACATCAGTTTACCACCAAGTTTTGCAGAGCCAGCCAGTCTATCTGCTTTGCTCATTTCCCAGCCCACTGGCATATCCTTATTCTTGTCATCTTGAAAAAGGTAGTTTGTCATTGCTTTCTTCTTGGCAGTATTCAACCAGATTGGGTGACAGTAGCCATGTCACTGTGGTGGAAATCTCTGCCTACCGCTAGGAAACTTGAGTTGAGTTGATTCAAGAAGTGACATCACAGCACCCAGGGCATTCCCATAAGCGCTCTGTCCCCATCTTTAGCAGCTGGTAAAGAGTTCCCAAACTAATGGTGCCAGTAGCATTCTGATTAAATATCCGTCTTGCCTTTTCTCTGAGCCTAGAGCATTTGCCAGAACCTCTCGTCACTCACCCCCCCCCCCCCCCCCCTGCATCAATTTCACCAGATTGTGGTGATCCATCTGCTTTTCCGAACTGTACACGCTCTCCCACAAGGCACTAACCACGTCTGCCTTATCATTCATCAGTATTCCACCAAGTTGTGCAGAGCCAGCCAGTCTGTCCGCCTGTTCATTTCCCAACAACACTTGAGACCATGAACAGCAGTCTGCCAGCTGGTGTCAGGCTCAGTCTACCAACTGCTCCCATCGTTTCACATTACATGTCTTCATCTTAGCATTCATCGGCTGTAAACTCCAGCAGAAAGTTCTGGTTGTTCATCCACTCCTGGACTTTGGTCTTGATCCAGAACTTAATTTTGGTGTGCACATCTGTTTTACAGATCTGTTTAATTTGTATGTCGGCTCTGTGGCTAAGTCGATGCAAATGCTTTGCAATGCTGGGGTGCCGGGTTCGATCCCAGCTACGGGCCATGCGCCTTGCATTGGTTTCGACAGTGGTATCAGGGGGCCGACCATATGGAAAGCAATGGCAAACTACTGGATGTAAATTTGCCTAGAGAAACAACACAACAGCAGGGGCTGCTGGGTTTGGTTCTGCAATGTCCTGTAAAGGATACGCAACTAACCTTATTTGTATGCAGATTGTTGGTTCCTTGCTGCTCATGCAGATGCCCTCTGACTTTGAAATAAACACGCCCTGCTGGTCGTCTTCTATGACTTGCTTGTTAGTGGGCAGTGGTTCTTTTCTATGTTCTCCAAAGTTGATAATCATCGTCATCAGGTGCCTTGCCGACTGGCGTGGGCAATCATGCCTCTCCATAATCCATGATCCCCTCAGCATGTATCAGTTCGTGGGCCGACACACCTCCATGCCATGCAACAAGACTGTTAAAAATCTTCTCTCGTTGTCTTCCTCTATCCCTCTTTCCACAGATCTTTCCAGTGGTCACAACATGTTCTATTTTTTCCTTCTTCTCATAACATGGCCGAAAAATGATGACGGTCTCCTTCTGATATCTGTGATCCAAAATTAATAGGGTAGGCTAAACAGATACTTCACCTTGTCCAAGTGTGTCCTAGTGGAGGTAATCCTTTTCTGCCAGTTGCAAATACATCGGTGAAGAGTTGGAAGCTGGCAAAGGATAGTCTGAGAAATTCAAGAATCAAACCAGAAATTAGGCTTACAGACCAGAAAATGTTTTAAACTGTGATAAAACTGAGTTTTCCTGGAATAAAATGCCTAGAGAACATTCATCAAAAAAGAAGCAAATGGCATTGCTATCACACAAGCTAACACAAGACAGACTAGTTAAAAAAAAAAAAAAAGGTCCCTTTACCATGCCTTTAGGCGTATAGGGCATATATGGCTGGACCTATATTTTTATAGACCAACTGGCACAAGATGGGTGATCTGGACAGCATCATGCCAGCCACTTTTACTTCCCAGGACTGCACCAGGTACCCACTCAAAGCTGGGTTGACTTGGGAGTCAAGGTCATTTTTTTTTAATCCAGCTCTGCCAGGGAGCGGACCCATGACCTTCCGATCCGCACGCAAGCCAAATACAAAGTTTGCTCTCTGATGCCATTGCCAGTGGTAAGCTGAAGGTAAAACCTTTGTTGGCTTTTCCCTTGGCAAATCCTAGTCTTTAGTTAACAATGTAAGCAGACACAAGTTCAGCTTTATTGAAAAAGCAACAGAAGAGCTTGGGGAGCCAAGAATTAAGTTGTGTTGAGTTGAGTCAAGAATTGACATCACAGCACTTGGGGCATTCCCATGCATGCTCCGCCATCTTCTTCAGCAGCCAGCTGAGTTCCAAACTGATGTTACCGGTCACAATATGGATACATGGCTTTTTTGCCTTTCCTCTGAGTGTAGTGAGCCAGCCAGACCCTCTGGTTACACTCTGGTGCCTTATTCTCCCCAGGCCATAATAATCTTGTTTCTCTACTAATTACATTGCTTGTTACCAAAGGGCTTTTACCACATTTGCCTTGTCATGTATAAATTCACCTCCCAATGGTACAGATGCAGCCAATCTCTCTGCCTGCTCATTACCCACTACACCGGCATAGCCTGGAGAAAAGATTGGGGAGCCAAGTAAAATGGATTAATTTTTTTCCCATGTTTCCAAATTCTTTGGTCATGTAATAAGAAAAGGAGCAGTGGAAAATATCATAACGACTGGAAAGATCACTGGTAAAAGAGGCAGAGGCAGACCAAGAAATATGATGGTGGGTAGCTTGAGACAGTGGCATGGAGGAATAACGTCAGTAGAATTGATCCAGAACAACAAAGACCGAGATTTGTGGCATGAACGCCTACGCCAGCTGGCAAGGCACTTGAAGATGATGATAAGATGTAATGGACAAACTGGGTTTCCAGATACAAATGAAGTTCATTAGTTAAGTTACCAATCACTGTATATGTAAAATTCTCTTACTTTACATCTGTAATTTCATCATCACATTTTACCTTACAAATACTTGTATTTCCCCCAGAGATGACAAGTACAGAGTACCCATTAGAGTCATCTCCCCCCTTGGATACATTTTACATTCCATTAGAATTGCAATCTCCAGAGGAAGACGAAGCCCTGACCTATAATGGTAATGCTGGTAATTTGAACATGCCAGAGATTTTGCTGCCAATGACTGGACCACAGTACAACTACAAAACCCTGAGCGATTGGAACCAGATTTACACCTCGCCGCCTCCGATTTCTCGTCCTGTGGGCCCTGTTTACAACAGGGCAAAGCCTGCCACAGGTGGAGTATTTATACTTTTGTTTTGGTGGGGGTTTGTGTGTGGTGTAAAGCAATCATGGTACTAGGATCAGCTATAGTAGGTGGATCAATTATATTACTGAGATAAATCATGGTACTGGAATCATTTATAGTACTTTAATCAATTATGGTACTGGAATCACTCATGGTATTGGAAACAGTCATATTATGATCAGTTATGGCACTAGGGTCAGTTATGGTACTGGGATCAGTCATAGTATTGGGATCAGTCATAGTATTGATCTGTCATGGTACTGGGATCAGTCATGGCATTGGGATCAATCATGGTACTGGGATCACTCATAGAACTAGGATCATTTATAACACTAGGATCAGTCATGATACTGGGATCAGTCATAGCACTAGGATCAGTTATGGTACTGGGATCAGTTATATAACTAGGATCAGTCATGGTACTGGGATCAGTCATGGGACTGGGATCAGTCATGGTAATGGGATCAGTTATAGCACTAGGATCAGTCATGGACCTATGATGAATCATTAATCTGGATTTAGTCATAGTACTGGGATCAGTGAGTATCATCATTACGTGGAGGATTTATGACGAAAAGAATCCACCCAGCAGTTTACAGACAGCGGCACCACATAATATTCCCAAAGACAACATCGGGTACCCTGTAGCCGACCTTTATTGTGGCGATGGCACACCATTTGGTTAATTAGAACTTTTTTAGGAAGTTAAATATGCTTTTCTTGGACTGGCATCCAGTGTGCAATTTTTTTAGTTGTGTGATAGTCAACTTTTAGATACCTACGCGGGGGTGGGGTGAGGGGGCGTAGAAGGTCCTTCAGAGCACATATTGGTCTTATTGGTGGCACTTCTGACTGCTGCCTTATGCATTTTCACCTTGTATGTGCAAGCTCCAAGATTTTTTTAGGACTGAAAAGTTTTTTCACTAGTTTTCAAATTGGTCAGCGAAAGACATTTTCAAGCAAAGCACTTATGAGTCTCATTAGTGTTGGCACTTCTGACAGCTGCCGTATGCATTTTTACTTTGCATGTGCAAGCTTCAAGATTGTGCTGGGACTAACAAGTTTTCACTTGTTTTTAAATTAGACCTGGAAAGACATTTTGTGTGATTTCTACTGGCACAAGAATGGAGCAGTTATGGGGCGACCCCTCTACAGTGGTGTTGAAACCTTGACTAACTTACATACAAATGGGTTTGTTCCAAGTTCACTGATGTTATTTCTAGTTAATTAAACAATCAGTCACACGTTTCGATGCTAGATTTTCTCAAATTATTGCCTGTAGCAGTTAAATTTGTTATAAATAAACACTTTATGCATTCCTTGGTAGAAAAGAGTTACCATATTTTCTGTGTATAAAATTATATGTTTTCCTAACTGTTTTAAATTTAAAATTGAAAGTTGTCTTATACACGGAATTTGATTATAATAGTGTTTTCTTAATTTTAGAGGTGTCTTATATACAAGAAAATTTTGTAATTTTTGTCTTTGGTTTTTATGAATTTCTCACAGGAAGTTACAAAAATGAAGAAGCTAGGGACACAGGAAAAGCTGTGAATGTGAAAGTAAATGAATCCAGCCCTAGCAGTAATTTTCAAGAAGACAGAAACATTCAGGGTTTCAACAGAGAAGAGCTGATAACAAAATCACGACCTAAAAGTAGCCCAACAGTGAGCCTACATTCTTTCCTGGAGGACGCTGACTCAGCAACTAGGTGATTTTCAATAATATATATACAAATATATATAAAATGTGTATGTTTTTATATGGCACTGTAACTTGGAGCAAAACTAAAAGAGATGAAGCCTCATTAAAGGTTTTCGAAAAGAGGGTTTTACGACAAATCTTTGGACCCATCAAAGATGCAAATAGCCTGGAATGGAGAGTAAGAAGCAACAATGAAATTCATAATCTCTTTAAATCACCTTTGATTACTGGTATTATGTTAGCAAATAGTCTGAAATGGTTGGGGCATATTGAAAGAATGTCAGATGACAGAGAAGTAAAAACTGTATACACCTGGGAGCTGAATGGTTGTAGGCCACGAGGCAGACCAAGAAGACGATGGAGAGATCATGTCCAGGCAAACCTGCAAACACTCGGTGTCACCAACTGGAAAGAGAAGGCCAAGCAGAGAGATGAATGGAAGTGGGTGATATCTGCAGAAATAAACCTCAAGGGCTCCGAATGCTGAAGAAGAAGATAGTGTGTATGTGCTAGGGGTATGACGTGACACCGCCAATCCTTAGGGATCATGGAGCTCTGCTGTTGGTTTTAAGAACAGCGTCTGCTAACAATAAAGTCCTTTGCACGATGGGCAGTCTCTGCAACATAATCTACATAAATACTTTGAAATTCTGTTATAATGAGGCCGGTTTTCTCTTGGCAGTCTCTACTCTAAAGCTTGCTCTCTCAGTCCTTTTGCAAAGTATGTCAGTCCATCTTTCACTGTCTGCCTCCACAGGAGTCAGTCTGCGTCTGATCTCTCCCAGGTGTCTGTGTCATTGTTGATATCTTTCAGGTGTCTGTGCCATTGTTGATATCTTTCAGGTGTCTGTGTCAGTGTTGGTATCTTTGAAGTTTCTATGTCAGTGTTAGCATTTTTCAGATGTTTATGTCAGTGTTGGTATCTCTCAGGTTCTGTATCAATGCTGGGATAATTTAGGTTGCGTTTGCATGTGTCCTTAAAGCATAGCTTTAGCCTTCCTGTAGGTCTTTCGCCTTTTTTTTTTCTTTTGCAAACAAAAGAAACTGTGGCAAATTTCTTCTTCTTCTTTGAGTTCAGTTTCGTATGTTCAGGTCAGACCATTGGGTGGGTTGCCTCTATGAACTCACATATCAGTAGCAGGTCCTTCATGGTTCCCCATAACTTGCTCTGCTCACTTTGCTCTTGAAGTTTGAAGTTGTAGGTAGAGTGGGCAGGTCTGCAGAATGTGCTCAGGTGTTTGTGGGGACTGTACAGTCTTTACTTTATGCATGTGGTGCAATCTCATCTTCACTCCTTCTTCTTCCTCCTCCTCCTCTTCTTCTTCCAATTCTTCCATACGTCGAGTTGCTAGCTGGTTACTAAGCGTGACACCCCTGCAACATAAGACAGGACCTGTAACATGACCAGGAGACAGGTACATCGATCGACACAGATCACACACATCGTCCAGCGCAGACAGCCCAGTCGGACACAGCTCTCTCTCGCTCGCTCGCTTTACCGCCCGATCAGCCACGTGTCTCTCGTTAGCTTGCTAACTATCCATTCGCAGCCAGATTATCAATAGCTAGATACTGGTCAGAACTCTCTTGATATTCGGCTGAGTTTTGGCTCGACTACGCTATTGTTATTTGTCTGCGGGTGGGTTATTAGCGGCCCGGGAGCACATCATTGTTGAGGAGCCAGTCACACCAGCCAGTTTGTTTTTAACGATTGTCTCGAGAACTGCGGAGAAAAGCACGCTTGGGTGTCCTTCTCAGGATACTCTAACAAGCCTTGCCAGACTCTGCAGCGACCGAGCAATCAATTGCCGCCCGACTTACCAGCCTCAGCCACACGAAACCATGGCCCGTGGTAAGAAGAATCCGGTCCAGCGCCGGGTCACCAGAGCATCCTCAGCCAAAAAGGAGGAAGCACCTGTCGCTGCACCAGAACTGACGATGCCAGAACCGGTCGACGACCAGGAGGAGACACCAGCCTCACACACCCAGACGCCGCCAGCCCTGGATGTAGGCCCTACCAAGGCACCCGTCTACGTAGAAGCCGCCCCAGTCGTGGCGCAGGAACCGAGCAACAACCGCCCACTCAGACAGCAGCAGCAACGACCGGGAGCCTACACCACAGAAGTTTTGCAGTGCTCTCGCTGCAACAAGGCGTGGCACTCTGCCTCGTCATGCCGCAGCAGCCCATCGTGCCGTTACTGTTCCGGCCCTCACCTATTCAGGGAATGCCCTCTGGCAAAAGTGGACCCTGACTTTAAAAAGCCGAACGCAAGTAGAAGATGTTCCAACTGCTCCGGTGCACACAGCGCGAGGTACATGGGTTGTCCGTACCTGAAAGAAGTCAAGAGAGCGATGGCGAATACCACCACCAGGACCACACACAAACCAGAGCCGAAACAAAGATATCAGGCGCCCAGTCCGACAGCTGTGAACAACAACGTCATTACGCAGCTGAGAGACGAAATCAAATCCCTGCGAGAAGAGAACGCAAGAATCATGGCACTCAGGACTCAAGACAGGGACGAGATGATAGACCTGAGAAGCATCCTGCAGGCATCTCTCGAGACCCAAAGGAGACTCGAGGAGGAAAATACAGAAATGGCTAAGTTCAAAACAGAATTGATGGCAAATTTAACCGAGCTCAAGAAGTTGAAGGAAACAAATGCAGTAGCCGCCAAAGAACTGAAAGACAACCAGAAAAGTATACTTTCCGAGGTAGCCACCATCAAAAAAGACCTGACAGACACCAAAGAAAAGCTCAAGAAATCAAGCGAAGAATGCGCCAAACTGAGCGCCGCACTGCAAGCCACCAACGAAGTGATAGATGCCAGAGAAACCGCAAGGAAAGAAGCGGAACGAAAAAGGCAATCAGTCCTAAACCGCAAAAAAGCACAGAGAGCAAAAATAAACACAGCAGAACTAGCAGACGAAGACCTTGAAGCAGCACTGGAGGAAGACAGAAAAGCGAAACAAGTCGCGAAAGAAGAGTCAGACAGAATAGACGCAGAACTAGCCAAATACGCGGGTTCATACGAAGACAAACTGGCCAGAGATGAACTCGAGAAACTTCACCACGCCCTCTAGTCCAGCCGCCATGACAGTTGAACCAGCCCACCACCCAGCCCGGAGAACGCCCCACAGCTCGCTACCAGCCAGGCATGATGTCTACCGCCCGACCCAATCCCTCCCACCCGTTCGAGGCCATCCCGGCAAACTTTACTAGTCCTTCTCAGGACTAGTAATCTTCCACTCCCAATCACGGCCAACATCGAGATACACGCAAGGAAATACTATAGACGCAGTTCGTCACAATTGGAAAAAACTATTGGATACTCCAAACAAATAAACGCAGTCCCAAAATAACCGCCGCTCACCATTGGAGCTGGTTAGGGTGACATGAACTTTTGTTTTTTTTCAAACAAACCGCAAACCGCAACCATGACCAGGCATGAATAGCAAGAGAAGTCACACTCTTTCTGGGCCCGACATTATAAGCACCTTCATTTTTTTTTTTTTTTCCAAACTAGTGAATGTATCTTGCAAAACAAAATATATGTTTTTCATCTTACAAGGTTTGACCAATTAAGTAATGAGACTGATTTTATTACGGCCAAGACAAAAGTGTCATCTATGGAGCAAAGCATGGAGTCAAGAGACAATCTTCATCTATGAGCTGGCAACTTTGCCTGATAAGCCAAACAAGCGGCTATTTTTTTGACCTAGTTAGATGTGCATTGTTACGAAATCAGCAAAAAATAAAATTAAATTCTGTTTAAAACTTCGAAAAAGTGCCACTGAGACAGTTAAATTGGTGCGACAAGTTTATGGGGATAATTGTTTGTCTGGTGCACAGGTTTTCAGGTGGTATTCAGGATTCAAAAGTGGTGTGAAAATGATTACTAATGCAACTAGATCTGGGCGCCCAATTTCTGTTTGTAATGATGAACTTATTGCAAAAGTCATAGAGTGGATACAAGAAGATCGTTGTTTAACTGTCAGGATTATGACAGATAAATCTGGTGGTAAAAGAGAGACCATTCATATAATTTTAGTGCAAGATTTTGGAAAGAAAAAAGTTTCTTGCAGGTTTGTACTGCATTCGTTGTCTGATTATTTTCTATTGCCAAAATTAAAGTTACCTTTAAAAGAATGCTTCTTTGACGATGATATTGATGACAACCAAAGGGCCGTAACATCGACTTTAAGGACCATAACCAGATAAGAACTACAGAGGTCACTCCAGTGTTTGTGAGATCATGCTACTCACTGTATCAATGCACAAGGGGCTTACTTTGAATAAATTACAGGTTGTATCTTTAACTGTTGGTTATTTTAATTTTTGCGAAATTAGTCTCATTACTTAATTTTTGGACCTTGTAGTTTTCTTTCTGAGAACTATATTTGCTGGCAAGGTATTTGCTTGTCATCCTGAATGTCTTTGATTTGATTCAACGTTGAAGCAGACGTATAAAATTAATCTCGGGTTTCAGGTCAACACAGCCTAAAATTGTACTTTGAAATTTCCTGGGCAGTAAATGTGGCTACTTAAGCACATAACCAGTATTATAATAATAAGAAAAGTTGTATATCTTTAGTTGTAGCAGGCAAAACCTATTCAGAATTTCAGGTGAAGTTTAAAATGTCTGGAAAATAAGTTTGAACTTGTCTATCCATAGTGCTATTGGTGATCTCAAAATAAAAGAGGTTAGTGAAGACGGAAGATTTGTGAGGCTGATCAACGATGGCCCAACGGTTAGTTTTGCTTTCTTGTGCGATATTTGTTTTATTGTTACATTATTATACAATCTGTGTATATTACATACAACATCTTACCATTTTTATCTAATTGTTGTATATGATAATTATATTATTATTCTTATATTGTTACATTATTATTACTGGTAAATCTTCTTAATACTGATATATCTTCTGAATACCTATATCTTCTTGATACTATTATATCTTCCTGAGATTGCTATATCTTCTTGATACTGTTATATCTTCCTGAGATTGCTATATCTTTTTCATACTGTTATATCTTTTAGATTATGTTGTATCTTCTTGATACTGTTACATCTTCCTAAGACTGTTGTATCTTCTCAATACTGTTATATTTTCTTGATGTTGATATATCTTCTTGATACTGTTATATCTTCATGATACGGTTGTATTTCCTTGATACCATTATATCTTTGTGATACTGTTATATCTTCCATATACTGTTATATCTTTTTGATACTGTTGTATCTTCCTGATGTATCTTCCTGATACTGTTGTATCTTCTTTACTTTACTGTTTAATGCAAATTCAGATTTGTGTAGAGTTCTAATCACGTTCGGTCAAGAGTGCAGAGGCTGGCCAGCTGGTGCGGCAGAATCAGAAGTTTAACAAATGATTCATGGCAATTCCCGCCCAAGTGATGTGATTATCTATAGAGATGGCTCTGTGTTGAGGGGCAGACAAAAAGCATGGGGTTTTATAGCAAATGGGAATGGATGTCATGTAGTGCAGCAAAACCTTGCATATGATATCACAATGTCTAATTTGAGAATGGAGGTGGAGGCAGTCTGCTGCCTTCCGCTGGTTTGAGAATCAGCTGTACACACATGCCGTGATTGTAACTGACTCACAGAGCGTGTTGAGAAAGGTTAAAATAGGCATGCATAACTTCAGAGGTCCCAGGTAGTTAGCATCCTTTGGATATTTTCTCCAGGTCTTGCTGGTGTGTTGGAAAATGAGCAGGCAGATAGACTGTCTGGCTCTGCACCACTTGGTGGTGACTTGATGTATGACAATTTAGATATTTTGAGGGCCCTTTGGGAGTGAGTAAACAGTGCGGAGGCGCAAATAGATCATTACGGTTCAAGGAGAATGGCGCTGCGAAGAGTTACCAAGGGATCTGGCTGACGCTCAACACTCAGAGGAAGGATGAGACGGATATACAATCAGACGATTACTGGTACCATCCGAACTGGAACTCTTCGCTTGCTGCTGAAGATAGGGACTGAGCACTTATGAAAGTGTCCTGAGTGCTGTGATGTCGATTCTTAATTCAACATTCAAGCTTGATACTTTATATCTTCTTAATAATGTATCTTTTTGATACTGTTATGTCATCTTGATACTGTTGTATCTTCTTGATACTGTTGTATCTTCTTGGTACTGTTTTATCTTTGGTACTGTTGTATCTTTCTGGTACTGTTGTATCTTTTTGGTACTGTTGTATCTTTTTAGTACTGTTGTATCTTTTAGGTACTATTGTATCTTCTTGGTACTGTTGTATCTTTTTGGTACTGTTGTATCTTCTTGGTACTGTTGTATCTTTTTGAAACTGTTATATATTCATTTGATCTCTTGCTTTTCAGTGAATGTGAGGTGAGGTATTGTTCCCACAGTCTGCCTGATTGTATCATTTCTCACCCAATGTTAGGCGTTTCAGTTGATAGCTTTTATCTGGCACTTTTTCTCACATCTGTTAAATTTACCTTTTTGAGCCTTTGATAATGCTCTGGTACCAACTGCCACAGAGAGCCACACAGAAGAATTATAATGAACACAGAGCAAGAGAAAGACCATGCAACAGATGGAGCGACACCATCAGGAGCAACCTAACAGACATGAACACCAACTTGTACATTGCTTTGGAAAAGGTGCACAAACGATCCTTACATCTTTCCCCAACACTTCGCTGAGGTAAATGGTGGAAGAGAAGAATAAGAAGAAGATAATGTCCAAGCATCGAAACTGGTAATGCAGTGTTGGTATGAATATGCTATTTATAATCTGTTTCTTGGCGCTCATACTTATGTTTTAGTGTCCTAATAATGATACCTGTGCATATAATAATATTAAACATACTTTTTTTTTAGATTATCATCTGTAAAACTTGTGTTGTGTCATCCAAAACAGGAATATGAATGTAGTGGGTATATGATCAAGCAGACAGTTCATGGACGTCCAGTGGCTGTTTTCCGATTTCCGTCAGGCACTAAATTTCCGCCTGACTCCACAATCACCGTATGGTCCGCAGTGAATGATCCCAGCGTGCATAATCCACCTACAGATTTCTTCTGGAAGGAAAGCCAAAAATGGGAAAGTGGTCCACAGTGTGCAACAGTTTTATGTCGTCCTAATGGGCAGGTATGAAAATATATATTTGTGAATGTATGTGCTGGAGTGGTAGCTTTGTGGGTGAGCAAGGAAGTAAAAAGTCAAGAACCCTGTTCATGATGGTGCATTGGGCATATGAAGAATGTTGAATTAAGAATTGAAATCACACCACCCGGGACACTCTCATAAGTGCTCAGTCCCCATCTTCACCAGCAGTCGTAGAGTTCTAATTTTGATGGTACCAGTAACCGTCTAATTGTATACCTGTCTCATCCTTTCCCTGAGTGTCAAGCGTCGGCCAGATCCCCTGGTAACTCCTCGCAACGCCATTCTCCTTAGACCATAATGATCATTCTTCGCCTCCGCTCTGTTCACCCGTTTCCAAAGGGCCCTCACAATATCTAACTTGTCATACATCAATTCACCACCAAGAGGTGCAGAGCCAGCCAGTCTATCTGCCTGCTCATTTCCCAACACACCAGACAAATGAAGAAAAACAGCTGACCAAGTGGGTCTTCTTCTTTTTTTTTGCATTCATCCAAAGAAGTCAATGCGTTGTGCCCTTTACAACCTGACTGTGATATTTGCGCCTTTTTGATCAACACTTTCAACTTCTGTCGGTATTTGTAGCCCGGATAAGCCTTCCTGGTTAGTTCCATGGGATATTGCAGTAATTTTTGTGGTGGACATGTTTTTTCCTAGTTTACAGGTGGTGCCCCCCTCCCAAAATCAGGTCGGTCCAGGCAGCCACTTAATTCAGAAACAAAAATCCATCTGGTCTAATAGGGGTGTTATGCTGTACTGTTTTCTTTGAAAAGAGTCACTTGAGACTTAGGTTCTGGCTGTGGGTAGGGGGGTTTGGGTTAGGGCCAGTTCTAGATGTTCTGGGGTTGTTAAAAGCTGTGTCATCATGTAGTATAGAACATGCGACATCGGTGCTGATATAACTGGAGGCAAGATAATGTGACACCCCTATGACATAGAACAGTATGAGAGAGTATGAATGAAAGGACAGCCATTGTGCAGATGGGCTGGGAAAAGTGAATAGGACCGGTGACTAATTAGGGATTAGCTGTAATTGAATGTTTTGGGCTGAAAGGCAAAGATGTCACAGTTACACTGTAAACCACAACACAAAATGGCAAACATCCCTTTAAGCCTGATGCAGACAATGAAGAAGAAGCTGCCTGCTGGTGATGGGAACAGAGTGCTTATGAGAATGCCCTGAGTGCTGTAAAGTTCCTAGCTCAACTAGTTACCTTGAAGCTCAGGTTACTACTACATGCTGGCTATCCTCCGAATAATGGTCCCAAGTTATTGAGGCTAAGCAAATACCCTAACAAGGCCTCAATGTTTGTGATTGTGCTGCTAGGAAACCGCGCTAAATATTCAGTAAACACACATGACTAGTGTCACCGTGGTAATGTCCTGTCCGCGTAAGTTCCATCCGTGTCACGGTTCCACTGTTGTGACAGATTCTGGTGGCATTGTCATAATTGCAGTACTCCTTGCCCTAACCCCAACCCTAACTCTAATCCTAACCCCAACCCTAACTCTAATACTAACCCTAAATCTAGAATCTAGGGGAGAAGTTATACCTAGCACTCAGTGTCAGAGCTGTTTACACACTCGATGATTTGGAACCGTTATTTGGAGGAGTGTTTCCCGGGGTATGCGGTATATTTGCCGGAAAGAAGTCTGCAATTTACAAATGATTGAGGCCCTGTTAGGGTATTTTCTTAGTTCGATAATTTGGGACCGTTATTCGGAGGATAACCTACATGCTTTATGCCCCTATATCCACCAGGCGTGTGCATGGACAACACCTTCCCACAAATTTTCCAAGGATACATTTACAGAAGCTTCTGGAAGTAAACCAAATCTTCGAGAGGTCAAAGGTAAACAATTTCTAAGAGAAAGTGATCATTCTATGGCAATTCCTTTTGCAGAATGTGACTGAAATCACATCTTACAGGGAAAACATTTATTCTCTTGTCAGTTCCCCAGTTTCAGGTATCTTCATGCTTAAGGTCAGTGGTTCTCAACCTGTGGGTTATGACCCCTTTCGGGATCGAATTACCCTTTCACAGGGGTCACCTAAGACCATCAAAAACACACATTCACTGGTTATGAAGTAGCAACAAAACTAATTTCATAGTTGTGGGTCACCACAACATGAGGAACTGTGTTAACTATTTGAGTCCCAAGTAACGCATCATACGTTCATAGGTTCCTACCTAGTGACTCAAAACACGCATGATGCACTGATTGTACGTCTTTATTGATTGACTACCCCTTGGGCCTCTGATGCTAAACCCCCTGGGACTGAAAGAGTTAAAGGGTCACAGCACAAGGAAGGTTGAGAATCACTGCTCGAGGTGGTTGCAAAGTCTTGTATCCTGGTTAACTCCTGGGTCTACTTTTACTATTTTAGTAGTTTGTTAATGTTCTTAGAACAGTCAGTGCTCTTACCCCACTGTCAAAATTAATTCAGTCTGTTGCCAAACTGCCTGCCATTGAATCAAACAACATTAAAACTAGAATGTCTTTATGCTGGAGCTCACAGGGTCACATAAATAAAGGTAGAAAAAAAAGCACATTACAAAAGGGATCTAGAAAGTGATGTTAAAAATACAGGAAAGACATGCAGTGAGCTGCATTTTATAGCAAGATAGGATGACTTTGGTGTGAGTTGTCTGTGGGCCTATGTTCTATTAGGAAATAAAGGACTGAATAGGCAGTAAGATAAGAATCAGGCCTGTATGTAAGGATTATAGAAGTGTTCATAACTCCTTAAGCCACAAATGACACTTTTTTATTGTTTTTATTATTACTAACATGATTGTGTCACAATTCTATCACCTCTCATCTTATGTAACATAACAGGCTTTTCGTTATGAACCCCAACCAACGCTTAATATATTCTCTTACTTTATACATTTAGTTAGAGCAAAGAAAACAATCTTGCAACCCCAGAGACAATTTCCACTGTATGATTATTTTAAAGTATTTCCCAAATTTAGTATCTTCTGTAAAAACTCCTGATGTAGAATATGTTGCCAAAAATGTGATTCTTCAGCATATTGACCCAGATTGAATCTACACAGCATTTTCCTATATTGTAGAGGAGTGGCTGGCCGAGTGGTTCTGACATCGGGCTCTCATGCAGGAGACCCGGGTTCGACCAAGGTAAGATGATGTTTATCGGGGGCAGAATTAAACATCCTAGCCTGTACAGTCTGTGGTGACAGCACAAGCCATGTGGCCCTAAATCCTCAGGCTCATGACCCCCTTGTCTACAGTACCATAAGAAGGTGATAAAATAGACAGTAGAGACAGTTTTTTTTTTTAAAACTTATATTGTAAGTAAAGTTTGCTAGTTAGTCCAACCACAGCATGAAACTTGAAAAGTATTTTAGAAACCCTGTGTTGTCCATGCAGCATGATCCCTCTCTCAGCCTGCCATCTTTACTCTGAAGGAAATCAAACACCAATAAATGTGGAATAAAGCATGCTCCGAAAGCTACTAGACCAGACGAGTGTTCTGTCCAACTGACCGAGAAAGCTTTAAACCAAAGCTACGGGTCTAGTCTGCCCTGCCATAACGTCAGGTTCTTACACTGTATTTTCTCATTCTTGGTAATCACTGAACTATACTGAATTTATTTGAAACAAATGTAATTTCCACAGAATAGGGAAATAAAGTATACTATGCCCTTCAACATCTGCTAAAGTCAATCTCTATCTTGCAACCCAAGATCAGAATATATAAAACGTTGAAAAGACCAGTCATTTTATATGGCTCTGAAACTTATAGCACAACTAAAAGAGATGAAGCCTTATTACAGGTTTTCATATACAGTTTTACAACAAATCTTTGGACCCATCAAAGATGCAAACAGTGGGGAATGGAGACTGAGAAGCAACAACGAAATTTATAATCTGTTTAAATCATCGTTGATCACTGGCATCATGCGAGCTAATAGACTGAAATGGTTGGGGCAAATTCAGGGAATGTCAAATGAAAGAAAGGTAAAAACTGTATACACAAGGAAGATGATTGGTCATAGACCATGAGGCAGACCATGAAGATTATGGAGAGATAATGTCCAGACAGACCTTAAACACTTGATTCACCAACTGGAGGGAGAAGGCCAACCAGAGAGATGAGTGGAGGCAGGTAATATCTGCAGCAATGAACCTCAAGGGCTCAGAATGCTTAAGAAGAAGTAATTCCACTGAATATTCACTGTTAGCATATGTTTAATCTATATGAGTGTGTCATTGACATAGAAATCTTACTACCAACCAGCAGATGAAAATCATGTGGGAGATGGTGAAAGACTGACAACTACAAAAGTTGACCTCAGTGGACCAAGACCAGAGCCTGTCTTCATAAGACGGTAATTTTCACTTCATTCTTCTTCTTCTTCTCTAGTCATGTTCTCTCTTTCAGCATCAGGTTTTGAAATAGCTTCAGTCCGAGCCTTGATATGTGATTTGTAGATGCTGGTATTTGTGGCCTTAGATATGCCATCTATCCATCACTTACACATACATGGTCAACATCTAGTCTGCTTGTAACAGGGAAAGGTCATTGCTTGTTTCTTAGGAGCTAGTATGTTGATTTTCATTCCATTAACTAATACGCAAAATCTACCTCCTGACAAACAAGTGATGACGTCAATAGTTAGTTTTGGCGGGAAAAGAAGGTTACCAAAACTTGTTGATCTCGGTACATCCCGGCTATGCACCATATACTGACTCCTAACAAACAAGCAATGACCTTTCCCTTTTACATGCTTTTGTTGTTTAAGTGACTGGCTGTCTATGCTGCACTGTCTAGTGGAAATCTTGACACATGTCTGAACCATTTGACCTGTTGTTTCTTGATGTAGTGTAGTACTGGTTCAATCACAACTTGTTTCATAGTTAGTTATATTTAGGATCTGTCCTAGAACATTTTATTTTTGTTCTTTTAATTTCTCTTTTTTCTTTCATTGTTAATGCCCTTGTTTAGCACTGGGGACACAGTTTTTTTTTTTAATTTTATGTTCATTTTTCCTTTTACTGCTAATTATTTATTTGCACAATCTCATGAGCAGTGTCCTGTTTGTTACCCTTGCAGGAAAAGATGCATAGCAAATGTTGATAACAGAAGAGGAACTCCCTACCCATGGATGACATTAAGGAACGCCAGCGTAGTACTTGGTCTAGTCATTAGGGGTGCCCTAATTTAAAATGGAGTTTAATGGAGTATCTGAGATAGTTCCGGTTGGACCGACATCCTAACTAACACTTGACTTCCATGTTAAACCACCCTATCTTTCTGTGGGTTCTTCAGTCCTATTTGGGAGGCAGGGGAGATAATAGATCCATTGTTCTTAACAATCATAGAAAAGGATGCTTCCTTCAAAGTGGAAGTGCATTTACCTGAGAGGCGAGGAGCTTACATTCTGCATGGAAATAAACCAAATCTGTAAAACTGATGTGCATGCAAAACTCAAGTTCTGGAACAAGGTTAAAATCCAGAAGTGAACAAACAACTAGAACTTTCCACTGAAGTTTACAGCAGGTGAAGGTGAAGAAGAAACCACTTTAAAATGGATACCACAAAATGTCCTTGTAAGCGAAGGCAACACTTCTATTCTTTGTTGTCCAAAGGTAGCTTCAGAACCAACATGTAGATTGCAAGGGGAGAGAAGCAGTGGCTAAGAAGTAGTGCACCATGGGTAGCTGGATAATATGGTACACGTCTTTGCCTAAAAGTCTGCTACAAATATTGAACTGAATTGTTGCTTTATTATTCACAGAGAGAAGAGACAGCCACCAAGTTTATTTAATTCAAAACATCCACACGGAAATAATCCATCACTCATCACCCATCCACATACAAATCAAGCACGGCCACTCCATCTGGGGAATGATAACAGTACCTACAGCCGCCAGTCTCGAACCCAGACAGTTAGGCCTGATCCACTTCCTGGCAAGTATATTAGTTAACTGTGGTTTGCATGGGTATTTAAATTGTATGGTTTCAAAACCAGGTTACATATTTTCAGTTCTAAAAATTTTGTTTTCAAAATATACCACAAAATTTGGAGAACCACTAATGACATGGAACAAAAGTTTAATGTATTAACAAAACAGATGCGCCCAGAAAGTATTTCACATCTTTTTCTTCTTCTTTTTAGGTTTAACTGGCTTTAAACTCAGCAAGAAAGTTCTGGTTGCTCCTCCATTTCTGAATCTTGATCATGTTCCATGACTGGAGTTTTGTGTGCACATTTGTCTTACACATCTGGCTTATTTGTATGCACTATGACCACAATGAAAATGAACATAAAATAGTGTGAATTCAAGAGGATTGAAGAAATAAGAGAATTATCTGAGCAGCCACTATACCTCCCCCCACCCCCCCCCCCTTTTCCCCCCACAGAATAGGGCATTGGAACCAAATGAGAAATGTGAGACTTGGTTTTAGAATTCCCTTGTAGTCACACACAGATCATGACATAGATCACTTGTAGTTACAGATCACTCAAAGTCACAGATCACTTGAAGTCACAGACCACTTGTAGTCACAGATCACTTGTAGTGACAGATCACTTTAAGTCACAGATCACTTGTGGTCACAGATCACTTGCAGTCACAGATCACTTGCGGTCGCAGATCACTTGCGGTCGCAGATCACTTGCAGTCACAGATCACTTTCGCAGATCACTTGCGTCGGTCGCAGATTCACTTGCAGTCACAGATCACTTGCAGTCGCAGATCACTTGCAGTCGCTTGCGGTAGTCACAGATCACTTGCAGTCGCAGATCACTTGCAGTCACAGATCACTCAGCAGTCGCAGATCACTTGTGCAGTCTTGTATTCACTGATCACTTGCAATCACAGATCACTTGTAGTCACAGATCACTTGCAGATCACTTCAGTCACAGTCACTTGCATCACTTGTAGTCACAGATCACTTGCACTTGTCACAGATCACAGTCACAGATCACTTGCAGTCCACAGATCACTTGTAGTCACAGATCACTTGTAGTCCAGATCACTTGTAGTCACAGATCACTTTGCAAATGCCATGGACCATGTTTGTGTGGAGGGGGCACATCAGAAAGGGAATGTGAATGAAGGAAGAAATAAATGAAGGAAGAAATAATTGCAGAAAGGATGGGAGCTGAGCATCTAAGAAGAAACACACTAAATATAAATGTTAACAACAGTCCTGAAATCCATGCTATAATTGTGCAAGACTTTATTAACACGGGCGGGTCTTGCTAGTTACACTCGACTTGCCATGGGCTGTGATTGACTGACTTTTTACCCCACCAGGACATCACACCGAGTGACAAACACCCAATGACATAAAGTGCCACCGTTTGGAAGAGGATCACCTGAGAAGAGGTCCCAGAACTCCCTGTTCAACTGTTAGGTTATATAAGGACCCCCCGGCAACAACAAGGGTGTGGCTTTTAAATATAAAAAAAATTCATCCCACATGGAGACGGAGTAAGTTACTTAATGGTCTGTGAGTCCCATGCCTCTTCATAGCACAGTATAATACTATCATCTGGAAAAACGGAAAGGTGCTGATCAGTCATCAGATCGGTTTATTGTTCCTGGTGTATGAAAACTTATGGAATGCCATATATTTCTTTTCTTCAGG